CACCCAAGGCTGCAGCTGAACCGATCGTCATCCTTGTCCTCAGCGTCACATCGCATGGGCACTTCTGCCTTTCCAGGTTACCCTCCTAAACGACAAGAATCGCTTCCTCAAATGAGCAATCTGCCTCATCTCTAAGGTCTTCCTGCGCTTTGGTGGGTCTTTTACTTCAGAAGAAGACTGACTCACTTTACTGGGTCTGCTTCGAACAAGCACCTCTGACTGAGTTGACCTGGACCGGCTTGATGCCTACTATGCCAAGTCATCTTCTGCAGGACAAAGGATGAAACTCCAGAGCAAAGGATCTCATTTGCCTCACGATGCCTACTTGCTGCAGAGCTGGACTCTGAAGCCTGACTGACTGAATTAGTCTAAAGTCAGAACCTTGGGCGTGCTGCTCACGCACACTCAGATGAGCTCTATTTCAAAAGCTTTAGCATACAGACACCTGAGCCAACTGTACAGTACTTGCATAATCCCATAAGTTAATTTTCTCAGTACCAGTTATTGGTCAACTCAGAAATGATACATCAATAACGTTACATAAACAAATGTCCTTCAGCATGCTGAGAACCCCATTAACATCTAACAGGCAGCTCCAGCCCTGTATGATTTAGCTCCCCTACCACAGTGCATATCACCCATAAAACAGTCCTAGTCACAAGCATATTTCAAATCCCAAACGTTTTGGGAGATATTTCATAGTATAATTACAGCAGAAGAAATAACGGCATGTGTGATGGAAATTCACAAGTAATAAGATGTGTATATCTTTCTGTGTTCATTGGCTTCGTCCTAATTGGCTGCTTCTAATACACGTTGCCACAGTCACACTACTTTAAATACATTTCCCAGTGTCAAGCCCATCATGTGTCTCCTTGTGGCTTTCTCCTTCATTGAGTTGGAACATAATGAACGTTATTGTGCCTCAGGTTTATTAAAGATAAAGGACTTAATTTTTATATAATATAGGCTTTTCTCACAAACAGACTGCTTCCCAGAGCTGTGTGTAGTTTTATGAGCCAGGCACAATTGCTAGGAACCATACAAGGTGGATTAGATTCATTAGAGGCATTATGTCTGATTTGAGATTACAGAGACTCAACAAACACATGACTGGCTGGGAGTTGATCTACCTTACCTCCAGGCTGCATTATCACATAATAAATGCTTTATAATACTTTTATTCATTGGCCTAGAAATTGTATTATGAGTTCTAAATAGCTTTAATGGTTTTGTTATTCTTTTCAACTAAAACCACCTACGTCCTAAACTTCGGCTGTCATCGGGGATCTTGTTTAAAAGCAGATTCTGTTTCAGTGGATACAGAGTGAGGCCTGAGGCTGTGCGTCACTTGCGAATTCCTAAGTGATGTCCAGAAAGCACAGAGTGAGTATGGAGGCTACAAAATGTCCTTCAAAAGTGCATTAAAGTATACATCTCAGTGTTCCTGGGGTACCCTGTTTCACCTCTAAGCTCTTCATGCTGCTGTGGTTTGAACATGCCCCCAGAATCCATCAGCTGGGAAATTAACCCCCAGTGCAAAAGCACTGAGTGATATGTCTTTGAAGTGTGGTTAGGTTATGAGAGCTCCACTCTTAGGAGTTACTCAGGAGTGGATTCGCTATCACTGGACTAAGTTCTTGACTGAAGAATGAATCTCTCTCCCTCTTCTGTTTCCTCTCCTCCTTTCTTCTCTCCCTTGCCTTTTCCTTCCCCCTTCATCCTCTCTCATGTATGCTCTCTTGTTTTGCCTTCTACACAGGAAAACACAACGGAAGGCCTTACCAGATTCTGCCCCCACTGACTCTAGGTTTCCCAGAATTCAGAACTGAAGAAAACAAATCTCTGCTCCTATAAATGACACAATCTTAGTTATTCTGTCATAGAAATAACAGAGTAAACCAATGCAAATATGATCTTGTACTAACTATCATCTACTTTTCTAACAATAATTCTCCTGGGATACACACAATATTTATCTGGCATTCTGCTGTATTTTCAGTGCGTACTGTAATTAATACTCAATTCTTATTGAATGTTGATCATCAAATGAATTCTTACATACAAGTGATAAAATTTTTATATGTACTCTTCAGCTCTTACATTCTCCCTGCAATGTTATCCTAAGAATGTCACCAAAACGGTGGAGTTTTTTTCCAAAAGTATACTCCATTTTGTCACTATAATCATGGATCCATTTTATAGAGTGTGTTACATTCTTGCTCTCTTAATCTTCACAATAGCCCTATAAGGGAAGGTTGTATTTTAATTCCTATCTTAAAAAGTAAAATACAGAAATATCCAGCTCCTTATTCAAATTTACCAAGCTTCCAAATACATTTGCTGGGATGCAAACCTAGGCAGGTGGGCTCCACAGTCGTTACACCAAATTCTTACACCATGGGATAAACATAGTGAAATCATTTCACAGCTTAACTCATGTCCTTTCTGTCTATAGAATGGTTCTTGGACCACCCGACAAAATCCTGTATCTATTGGACATTTTGGTTCAGTTCTTAGGTTAGATCCTCTTCTGCAACAACCCATAGATTTTTGTCATGAAATGGTATGTCATTTTGGTGAGATACAATATGAATGCCAGATACCTAAGACACTTAGTCACTAGATTAGGACACTTGACAGATCCATGGAGGGGCAGTATTGAAGGGTAGATACCTACATGAAAATGTAGATTCTGTATACCTATAGAGAATTCCAGAAAAAAGTGATATATCATGGTGGTGTTCTCAAGTTGTAGACTTTGAAAAGTTTTAAGATGTAACCCTAGAAAAATGTCAGTGACCTACTCCATGTTTCTGGTTGACACTGTCTGAAAACAAGTCACCTAAATTGTAAACCTTCCCATATCATAGTAAGGGAATGTGCATTTAAACACATCACATTTTTTTATTTAGAGATAATATGTGTCATTGTTTATGACCAGAATAAAACCATACAACTATTTTGAGCAACAAGTCACTATGGTAACAGGTTTTCTGATTAAATTTAGAGTTGCAGTGCCTTCTGCTACTGGAAGATATGGCTTTTAACAGCAGGTATTGTATATCATTTTATATTGGGGCTCATTTTATTCTATAGCAGAAAAGGCTTGATGTTAACTTACCTAATGCAAATCCTATATCATAATATACAATAACTGCATGCTTAATCAATTAAAGGGAACTTTACTTGTTGGAGCTTTTCAAAGACGAGTGAAAAAATAGTTTTATCAGAAGAAAAACATAAAAAATTAGGGGAGTCTATAGTCAATAATTGTAGTTGTCTATACATTTTATTTATTTCTACAAAACTGTTTGTTGAATTATAAAAGTTAACACATGTAACTGTATGTTACAGTGGAAAGTTTTAATTTTATCATATTAATTTGTGTGTGTGTGTATGTGTGTGTGTGTGCATGCTCATGTATGCTGTGCTGCACAAATGGACATCAGAGGTCAGCTTGTGTGAGTGGGTTGTCTATTTCTACCACATAGGTCCTAGGGAGTGAACTCAGGTCTTCTCACTTGGCAGCAAGGTCTTTACCTCTGAGTCATCTTGCCAGGCCAGTGCTCAGATTATTCTTATATATAGTATCTGATCTCCTTACCTGGTTACCTACACCATGGTGAATGAATATATCCTATGTTTTTAATGTCTTATTCAATGGCAAATATTTTCCAGACATCTTGCAAATAGTGAAGATTATAAATTTTCTTCTATCAGAGCAACACTAGAACTGAACCACAGAACTAGAATTTCAGAACAATTAGAACAGCAACAGTGGTAATTTCCCTCACTGAGCCCTTGAGACAGTCTGCATATTCCTGTGTTTGAACACTTTGTCCCGAGCTAATAGTGCTGACTTGGAAGACAGCACCTCACTGCAGGAAGTTGTCACTAGGGGTGGGCCTTGGGGTTTGATAACCCAGCCCCACTTCCTCTCTGCTAACCACTTCCTGAGTACAGATACAATGACCACCTGCTTCCTGTTCCTGCCTCTAGGCCTTCCCTACCACCATGGGCTGTCTTCCTTCAGACTGTGAGCCAAAATAGGCCCTTCCTCTCCTAAGTTGTTTCTAGTCAGGGATTTGGTCTCAGCAACCAAAACAGTAGGACTCATCAGCATTTCATTTACAGTACAGAAATCCACTGTACAGATTAGGGGACCCAGTACTTTCCTCAGGTGCTACAGCTCATGAAATGAATGAAGCAACCCACTGGATGTCTTCACAAAGGTTCAGGAGCAATGGCTTACACTGAATAAAATGAGAAAGCTGGCCGGTGAAATGTAATAAGCATTGCAAGTGAGGAGACGCCAGCTGCCAGCATTTCCTCAGTCATAGATTAAGGTATCTTTGTGTGAGTATACTTTATGTAAGTAGTGACATTATGAACGCTGTATTTACACAAGGAAGCCCAGAACTTCAGTGTTTGCACACATATCAGCTATGGTTGCCATTTAATATTGCTGTTTTTTTTTTTCTTTTTGAATGTCAGATGAGTAAATCCCAGGAATAAAACACTAAGCTTGCTTAAGATGAAAGGCCTTACTTATGACTTTGATAGTTTTTATCATATATTGAAGTGTGACAGGCAAGCAAATTATTCAGCCAATTAGCTCTATTCATCTACAGCTCTTATTTCAAGCGCCACCACAAGGATTTTTACAGAATTAGAGGTGTAGTAAAACATACTGTATTCTGATAAGTATCTGAAATATGTCAGTATGATAAGCTTTCTGCTATTCATGAACTATATCCACAACGTTTTCAAAAACTTGAGTGCATCATTTATGACAAAAACACTGTAGTCTTTGTTTTCCTTGATTCTGTTTAAATCCTTTAAATGCTTCATTTTCTTATTTAGTTGCCAAGATGAAAGCTGGAGATAGACAACGGTGGACTTCAGAAAGGCAATCTGTCCACCATGACAAAAACACTGTAGTCTTTGTTTTCCTTGATTCTGTTTAAATCCTTAAAACGCTTCATTTTCTTATTTAGTTGCAAAGATGAAAGCTGGAGATAGACAATGGTGGACTTCAGAAAGGCAATCTGTCCACTACTGCAGGCATATACTCCACACCTGCGATTTCTTCTGCCCTGTAACTCCTGAGAGTGTCACTCATTTTGTCAAAAAGAATGCTGTCGTTTAAAATCTTTCACATATCAGTGAGTTTTTTTCTGCAGCAAAATCCCAAAGTGTGATGTAAAATTGTAGCTAGTTGAGTAAATACTACATCCTAGAAGTTTCCATAATTTTGGCCCAGTGGAAGTACATATGAATTGTGTCTAAATCCCCTAAGGAGTGGAAATATGTGTTTCCTCTGTTTCACCAGTGTCCTTTCTGGTCACTCACTATCCTAATGCCAGCAGCTTTCCCTGAAGCTGGCAAGATTTAGCTGCTACTAGCAAGGCTGCTGATATAAGGACAAAAAGCTCTATGGCTGGTGAAGGACAGAGTGCCGTGATTGGCAGGACACCTGAGGGCGGGGGTCATCCGTTGGACCTTCATGTCCTAACCTCGATGTCTTTCTAACTGGCTTAAATGGGTTTGCTTGTTTTCCACTTTTGTTATTAAAATAGAAGTGGAAATTTGCTTTTCCTAGCCTATCAGCATCTCTTTCCTCAGCCTGCCTGACCTTGAGGTGGCGCAGCTGCCTCGGTGGAGTTAAAAATGGACCTTCAAGCTGGCTTTAGTTTCTGTTGCTCTGCCTGCAAGTGTCGTCCCACTCATCTGTTTATCACAAGCTCTTTACCACTTGTGTTGTTGTTAGCCTGGACAGTTGATCTTGTTATTCAAGGCCCTAACCTGCAGGTCCTTGTACATGTCGTCCCCAAAGGGCAGGGACTGGTGCAGGAACCCCTCCTAGAGAAAAATGCACCCCCAGCCCCAGGTATCTCGGTAGTTTCTCCATCTTCTGATCCCTGGCAACCCGACCGGGAATACCCGTGCTTAGCAAATCCTGTACTTCGGGGACAGGGCAGCGGGGCAGTGGGCATAGGGTGGCTTAGTGCCTTAGGAAAAAAATGTTTGGCCGCTTGCTTTTATGGGTGTGCGATCCTTTCTACTCCCTCTTACCCAGGGCTCCCTGCGAGAGTCACAGGCATTATCCCAACAGTATAACTCTTTATTCTCATGCCTTCAAGCTTTTTGAAGACCAAAACCTAAACTTTTCCAAAACAGGCCCACCAGTAACCTCAGCTTCTGGGAATGGCAATTGCTCCAAGCTATCCTGCTGGTGGAGCAAGCAAGGAGATCCCGTTAGTGGTTTTGTTTAGTTTCTTGGCACTGCCCCCCACGCCCCTTCAATTCAAGCTGCCTGCTTTCAGAAGCCAGGTCTTAGAACAGTGCCAGGCTCGCCCTGGCCGCAGAGAAAAGGTTTTAGTCACAGCTGTAGCATCCCCAAAGATGCCCCATTGATTCCTAAGTGCAGCTGAAGCCAGAGAGCCCTTGCCACATCCGACCACCTGCGGAGACTGGGTGCAGACTGGAGCTGATGGGTTAGATGTCAGAACATGAGCATAAGGGATGCTCACAGAACACAGACTCAAGTAAGCCAAGCACTTACTCAGGATGACACAGCAAAGCCTCCGGCCATGGCTAACAAGACCTGGAGCTTCCTCCTGCCTGAACAGCTCCTTAGCCAAGACCTGCTCAGTCTGAACATGGAAGCAAGCAAGCCTTGGGCAGGAGCTCACATCAAAGAATCCAGGTTAGTGGCCGAAGGGGGTGGTTCTTAGGTGAATTACAGTCAGGGTGACCAGTGGCCTACCCAGGAAACAGCAGGTGTCCGCCCAACCAGTGGCAGATCCTCAACTCCCAGAAGTTTTGCCTGGGCCCCTGCCTTCCCTGGAACTAAATGCATGCGACCTGGCCCAGCAGGGGCGGGCCGGGGCACGGGCCGGGCGGGTGGCGCAGGTGGGCGTGCCAGCCAGGCAGGGAGGCTGGGCCTATAAAACACTCTCTGTTCCGGAGGCGGAGCGGCCGGGTGCAGCCTGTGCTGGTGGGCGCTGTGGCCCGGAGCCTTCGGCTCGCAGAGGGACTGTGCGGCGGCGGGGCCACTGTCCAAGGATCGGGCTACTGAGGGGCGCCTGCCTCGGTTTACCCCTCAGCATCCGGTGAAATCCCTGCAGGTGAGCGGCCGGAGGAGGAGGAGTGGGCAGGGTCGCTTCCCAGCTGTGCTGACTTTCCAGCTACTTTCAGCTGGTTGCCTGTAGTTGGTGTCTCCTCTTCCAGGGCTTTGTCAACTGGAGTTACCAAGGCTGGTACCTCCCTCTAGAAGGGCAGTGCCTGGGCTAGTTCTCTCTGGCGATGCTGGGACTCAGGGGAGCCTTTGCACTTCTTGCGTGCTTTTGCAAACTTCTCTCACTTTTTCCCCACAGCGCCTAAGGGGAAAACCGTTCTGCTCCGCGAGGGAAACAGAGCCGTTGACCATGGTTGCAACGGGCAGTTTGAGCAGTAAGAACCCGGCCAGCATTTCAGAGTTGCTGGACGGTGCCTATCACCCTGGGAGTCTGCTAAGTGGTGAGTCGCCCGGCTGCTCACGTTTCTCCTATCCGAAGGTCGCGGCCCCTCTCTAGATAGTGTAAGCGTCCTGCCTGAGCCCGCGAGACCTCATTCCCTCCTAGAGAGGGAAGACTGTGAAATCCATCTGAGGTGTCTTTTAAACTTCCTTGCCTTGGTGTGCCCACCAGAAACAAACATAACGAGAATACTGCATTGTTCCAGTCTGCTAACAGGCTCTAGGGGACGAAGTTCCTTATCCCTCATGGTTGGGACATTAAGTGTCCAGCTGGGAGTGTTTCCTTGTGTAACCAGCACCAGCCCATTTCCCTCTCTAGGTCATCTCTGCCAGTTTGCCATCCATTCCTTCTTTTCCCGGTCCCCAGGGAACCATCTTTTAATGTTTGGTTACTATGTTAGTTTTGCTTTTAGGGTGTTGAATAATAACGCAGTATGTGTTCTTCTGAATTCGGTTTGTTTTCCCACAGCTTAATATTTTAAATTGGACCCTTCCCTACTAATGTGTTCTTTTTCATAACTAAGTAAGATTCTATTGTGAAATGACTGTACTATTCCATTCTTGATGTCAGAAGAAGAGTTTAGTAGCCGTGGTCCCACATGAATCATCATTTCCAACTTTGAATAGCAATTTCTAATTTAACGGGCTACTCTACTATCAAAGAGTGGTGTGGACATAGATTTTAACTGCTTAAGCTCTTTAGATCCTCCTCATTTGTAAGAAACAATTAAGGTAATCCTATAGGACAAAACTAAAATTGGCTGTCATCAATGTAGCTAAAATATAGGTAAAATGCAGATATGATTTGGAATATATTAGTTCAAAAAAAAAAAACAGTGCCCTAAGTGAAGGAACACATGAAGCAGAAAGCAGGGAGAGCTGGAGGAGGTTTGAAGCCACTGTGTGGTGTGGCAACCTGCCAAGTGGTAGGATTAATTTGGAAGGTAGGTGACCAAATGCAGAGCTATCTTTTTCCTCTGGGCAAACCTAACTTTGTTTTCCTGGGTCTGTTTTGTTTTGCTCAGCTAAGAAAAACCTACCCAGCCCAGTTATAAATAACCTCATGAACCTCAAAGGTCCTCTCCTCTGTGAACAAACTTTAATCAAACAGCTCGATGCTAAAATGGGACCTTCAGGCCATTCTAGCAAAAACTTTTAAAGAAACATAAAAAGTTGGTAGACCTTTGGTACTGTGATGGACTTTATTGGCAAGAACTTGCAATCTTTCTGTGTTTTAATACATACACACCAACAGTCCCTTTGTCAAGCAAAAGTAGTGATTTTTACTCCAGATGCTCTGCCTGTTCTCTGTGAAAACACTAAAATAAACTTGGAAAACCCTACAACGAGAAAGGAAATAACTAGTTATCTTGATGTGATAACCACAGATAGATTTTTGCTGCATAATCCTCAAGACTGAGTAGAGACATAGAAAGTTAAAGAAACGTTGTTTTAACCTAGTCACCGGCACATCAGAGTCTTGAGTAAATGGATAAGTTTTCAGTCTGGAAAGGTTAAATGACTTGTTTTACTACCTATGTGTTAACAGCAAACTGAGGTATGCTAGCACAAAGAGAGGTGTGCTAAGTGATCAGGCTTTGCTATGCCAGGAAGATGTTGTTTCTCTGACCTCTAAACCGTTCTCTTTTTTTTTTTTTTCAGATTTCGACTACTGGGATTACGTTGTCCCTGAGCCCAACCTCAACGAGGTGGTATTTGAAGAGACGACGTGCCAGAATTTGGTTAAGATGTTGGAAAACTGTCTATCCAAATCAAAGCAAACCAAACTCGGTTGCTCCAAGGTCTTGGTCCCTGAGAAACTGACCCAGAGAATTGCTCAAGATGTCCTGCGGCTCTCCTCCACAGAGCCCTGCGGCCTTCGGGGGTGTGTTCTGCACGTGAACTTGGAAATTGAAAATGTATGTAAAAAGCTGGACAGGATTGTGTGTGATGCTAGTGTGGTGCCGACTTTTGAGCTGACACTCGTGTTTAAGCAGGAGAACTGCTCATGGACGAGCCTCAGGGACTTCTTCTTTAGCAGAGGTCGCTTCTCAACTGGCCTTCGTCGAACTCTGATCCTCAGCTCAGGATTTCGACTTGTTAAGAAAAAACTGTACTCTCTGATTGGAACGACAGTCATTGAAGAGTGCTGAGGAGAGACACAAGTAAAGTCCCCTAATGAGTGGATAGTAAACCTCTGAAGCTCTCTAGTCAGCCGTTTGTAGTTTGCCTGCCTGCCCTCACCAAGAACTCCCAGACTTAGGCCATCTTCCTTCCGTGTTTCTCACCCTCAGCAACCTGCTTCAAAGGCTTTCTCTCTCTCTCTCTCTCTCTCTCTCTCTCTCTCTCTCTCTCTCTCTCTCCCTCCTCTTTCTCTCTCTCTGTGTGTGTGTGTGTGTGTGTGTGCGCGTGCGCGCGCGCGTGCGCGCGTGTTTGACTCTCTCTCTCTGTGTGTGTGTGTGTGTGTGTGTGTGTGTGCGCACGCGCGCGCGTGTTTCAGCTCTCAGCATGATCTTCTCAATGAAAGCATCTTACCAGATAATGTCCAGCCCATCAAAATATACAGAGGTCCATACCACCAGCTTCCTACTCAAATTTAAAAAGTTCTTACACAAGAGGGTACAGTTAAATGGAGGAGCTTAATTAAAACATCACCTTACACAAGGGCAAATAAACAGTACAGTAACAAGAGCTTGGCCTCCCTGCTTGGTGCTCTCACACACCCATGCCCAAGAGACAAAGAGCTTACATTGTATTTTAATGATTACAGGATTCCTTTCAGTGTCTTTGTAGTATCGCATCAACTCAGTTTTCCTAGTTCTCCACTATTGAATGTTGTCAATTTTTTTCATGGCCTCTTTAATTGGAGAAATAGAAATGACATGGTGGCTTCTATTTTTGGCACGTAGTTGAGTGGACTGAGCAAATAGTGATTGTCCCTCTGTAGAGATGGAGATGGGTAAGATGATGGGTAAGTTTGGATACACTTGATAGTATTGCTGCTATATGCCATGAAGATGCTCAGTCCCGGTGAAGCATCTCATAGCATCAGTGCAGCTCATCTCTGGTCTCTTCTAGGAACCGAGCCACCTTTCCTTAATTTCACACTTCTTTTTAATTGTCAGTGTGTTCATATTTGCAGAAACTTGGTGTGACATTGAGATGGTGTTGCTACTACACACTAGATGGGAAAATCCTATAATAACTTAAGACAGCCAGTGCACACATCCAGCCTCTGCCCACCATATATACCCACCCCTAGGAAACAATAAATGCTTCTTTCCGCTGGTTTTTGCCTTATTCTGAGTAACTAAGTGAGCTTCTGTTTTTATGGCCATGAAGTAATTTACCCTCCACATAACTCTGCTCTATTCAGCAAGGTCTTTCCATCGTTGGGTCACGGAAAGGAGTATATTCAGGTCTCCTGCCCAAGCCTTTAGTACAAGTTCACGTACCTCAGGCACCAGCATGGCTGGGACAGATGTCTTTCCCCTGACCTTATACAAACAAGCCTGATGCAGTTCCTGATCCTGAGGTGACCTAAGGCATCACCGTTCTAGTGAGCAGCTGTTCTAACAAATTGTGCACTTTGGATGCCTCGAAAGGCACTACAAAGCCAGTCTTCACAGGACTGGACCAGTAGGTAAATCCCTGTTGTTTTGTAGGCTTGTTGGTGTTCAGGGTTCTGAAGGTCACTGTGTTTCTGTAGCTGTTTTGAGACATCAGCTGGGAGGATTCTGAGGCTTCTTAGGTGTGGACATCGATCCTTTTCACACCAGCAGTTGTGACTGGCTCTCTTGCCTATTTCAATTACAAAAATGATGATGACTTAAGGAGACTCTTACAATGATATCCCTGTTTAAAAAAATTAAAGTCTGTCTATTTTTTAACAATAAAACATTGTACATTTTTAATGCTTTGCCCTCTTTGTTTTCTCTGCATTTGTGCCATTATCACCTTAAAATAGATTTGACAGTATATGTAGAAAGATAACAAATTATTCCTTTTTGACAAAGCTATTTTGCACCCTCAATTATATTATTCCAATTACACTTATTTCATGTACTTACATATCAATAAAGAGTGATCTGATTCATAAACTTCCAACTTTCTCATAATATTTTCAATAGGAAGACATTAATGATTTGACCGCTATTGGCAAGTTCCGTCTTCAAAACAGATCCCAAGACTCATTATGTGAAGACATTTTGTGTAACTTTCTGAATAGCCATACACATGTGCGAACACACATACATATAATCAGTGTACATTTTCATTTTTACTAATAAATTATTTTAAATGACAGTTCTTCTGAATTCTCCTTCAATTAAAATATGAATTTTTCACATAGCTTTTGTGTCTCTTCAAATTAATGTTCATTATCTCAGAATTCTTGTAATATAACCTCAAACTCATCCGGAAGATAACAATATTACACACACTGATCACTGTATAGACAGAGTCGGGAACATTTGCTTTGAAAACAGCTTAGAAAACTGTATTCTTCGTTTATGCTTGGGATCGAAACCATAGCTTCAAGCATCCCAACACATACCCTAGTACTCAAATACATGAAGCTGGGCTCCAAAAGCAAATGCTTAGCATGGTTTCTGGTTAGGTGGGAAAAATGAGGCAACATTTGTCAGTGTTTGTGATGCCTGTATAGCAGGGGTCTTCTCTGATTTTTAAAACCTTCGAGGTGTCACAGTGGGTGGAGCTTCTTGGTACCAAGCCTGGCTGTCTAAATCTGATCTCTTAGACCCAGATGGTGGAAGGAGAATCCAACTCCTGCAAGTTGTCTCTGACCTCCTGCCCACACATACACACACAAAATAACTGTAATTTTTTTTATTTAGGAGATTAAACCAATAGGGCGACAGTTTGTGTGCACATGTGAAGGCTATTAAATGCATTTCTTGACTACATAGATTTAAACAATGATGACAATAATATTGAAATCCAGTACAGATTGGCAGCAGCTAAGAAGGAAAGGGTGCATGTGACGAGTGAGGAAGAAAGGGCATAACAGTGTCTCAAAGAGTCCTGGACCACTGTTCACACCCAGTCATTGGTTAGACTCGAAACAGTTTGCCAAAAAGTTCTTTAAAAGTAATAAAAAAAGACTCAAATGACCAAAAGGAAAACAAGTGGATATAAAAAGTAACTCATATGGCTGGTAAATGTATAAAAAGATACTTAATTTAACTAATAATCAGAGAGGCGCAAGTTAAAAGCATTAATAAGAAATCAGTGGATAGTTATGCATATTAGTTAACAACTGCCACATCCATAAATTGATGAAGTCAGAGCAAAACTGAATCTCACTTCATCCCATGGGAACTGTACTGAGTAATGAGTCATTGTCATGGAAAGTTGATAAGTGTATTTAATGAACCAGCCATCCCATATTTCATTACCAGTGTTCTTTGGACCTTTTTTCTTATTATACATATAAAGAAATCATGGAATTGTAGCCTCTGTCGTGTTTTCTAATTGCCATCCCAGTTTTTCACCCTTAGTCTTAAAAGTTGGAAATGATGTGAACTCTAGATCGCTGTAAATACCTGCATTTTAAATAACACCATTATGTCATTCTGCTAAGTGTTTTCAGTGGGATGTCAATGGCGCAGTAATGTGACACCAGAATCTATTTAGAAAACACTAAAGTAGGCTCTTCCACAGCCGGATGTTATATTCAGTGTTATTTCTTCTCTGTTGCTTTATCTTCCCAACCTTTACTTTTTTAGACTGAATTTTACTTTAACAGAATGGTTTTAAATTTTAAGGTTTTTTTTTCTTAGTGTTTTCCTCTGGGAAAAAAAAAACATTAAAATTATAATGTGCAATTAAAATGGGTTCAATAGCTTTTACAATGACAAGTTTTGGTTGAGTCCTTGTTGGCGTCCCTCCTGGCTGGTGGATCACATCCTGCCGCTGAAGGAGGAAGGGGAAAAGAGGGCCCTTCCTGCTTCTCTTTCGCTTAAATATGAGTCT